GGGGGGGGGGGGGGGAGGTGGGGGGTGGGGGGGGGCAGGAGGCCAAATCCTTACGTACAAGTGCGCTTCGAAGCAATCAATCGCAGGAGGTCTAGACCAGTGCAGCGTTGTCGCAACTGACAATAAAACTGGACAATCGACACAATTGTCCTAGACGAGACACGAGTTGATGTTACAATTGATGCCAAAGCTTCAAGCGACAAACACATACACACACATACACGCAGAGAAACCGGGCTGAGAGATCCTGGTCCAATCTTTATCCACACTTGCTGACACCCAGCATGTCGGAACGAGCGGAAGATAGCTCTTTTCATACGATTCAAGACAAACATGAGCAGACAAGTGAAAAGACTTGAAGACACGAGGGACAGGAAGGAAGAAAGAGGACCTGGTCTAGTTTGGGCGTGGGTGTTTTTACAGTTTGAAACGTGCTTGGTGCCGGGTGTGAGTCGTCCCGGGCCGTACGAACAGCTGTTTTCGTGCGAAGTTATCCGATATCCCATTTATTTTTCAAAGTCGGCCCACTTGTGATCCGTGCCGGCTTACATTTGTGCTGAAGTCTTTCAGAAACAACTCGCAGCGCGCAATGACAGGTGTTTAGACCCAGGCTGCAGCATTGAGCGGGTCAGCCTCGATTGCTCTGACCTGGCACACGCATGCTTAGCAGAGGCCAGGTTTCAGCGTCTATGGAAAAGTGAGCAGCAGCAGGGTCTAGGATTCATTCAAGGCTCTGCGTCTAGGTGCTTGGGGTCCTTCGCTTTCAAAGCATTGAATAGGCGCCAGAGCTTAACTGTTTCTGTTCATGTGTAGAGCCCTTGAGCTCAGGAGATTTCTGGTGAAAAACCGTCTTTACACTTCAAGGAAACCATGTGTCCCTGCACCTGCAGTAGTAGTAGTAGTAGTAGTAGTAGTAGTAGTAGTCAGTAGTCATGCTGGAAATCCCGAGAAGCGTCGCTGCAGCCATCGAAGAGAAACCTAAAACCTAAAGCCTGGAACCGTACCCACAAGCTTTCAGCAAGAAGCACAAGTGCCTGTTTCATCAGGAGAAAACAGACATAGTTGCAAGACCTGCTGCCGGCCGTCTCGCAGCAAAGAGAGCCGCAGGGCTGAATAGCCGACCTCTTCTGCTTAAAGCTCTCGCTTTTACCCCTTTCCCTAGATCCATCAAACATGCGATGCCCCAAGCTAAAGCTTCCTTAAGGCTTTCTTTGGCCCATGCAACTCTGCATGGAGTTTCGAGTGAAATCCATCCCGGCCCAAACCGTGATTTTGTCTAAGTTTTTGAACGCTGGAGTGCTGAATGTCTCTATGCGATAAGGTGTAGGTCGTCTGCCCTGTCTTCTTCCACCATAGGAAGGCCTACTACCTCCAGTTGGGGAAACAACAACGCCTGGCAATCAAGGGGTTGACGGGCCTACCAGTAGGAACCCGTTTGCAGGGTTGCAGAGCATAGGCGACAACGGCTACAGCTGCTAAATAAACCCTCCTGAAAATCCCAAACGAAGTGGCCATACCGAATGAACGACAATGATAGCGACGAGGACGAGCAGTAGCGGGACAGGTCATGATGAGACGGGCGAGAATCGCGAGGACCTAAGTGGGCGGTCAGAGGGGTGATACATGCTCCCCTCACACGAACCACCACTCTGAACCCCAACAAAATTAAAACATAAACCCCAGCATTGAGATCATGTCCTGAATAGTGGCCTACTGCGTCAAAGGTACATGATATTGTACACTTGTACAACTCCAGAGCTTGCCGGCGAGCACAAACTAAAAGCGCCCGAAGCCCTGAACAAGCCCACAGGAACAAACAGCAGCAGCCTGAAAGGATACACCGATGAAAGGTCCGTCCGATCAGTCCCAGGCCTTGCTACTGGGGCGCTGGCATAAGCGCCGATTTCGAGGACCCGATCTGTGGGCCGAACTGCCGCCTCTGGGGTCCGAAGCCTGTCTGTCCTCTTTTGGGGTGTGATGCACTGTGCGGCAAAGCCTAGACAGCAACTGGAAACCCGATGTGCCCTTGAGGGGAGCATGGTCGGAGTGGACTTTCGCGTCTGCACGCGAGGAACTGCGGAGGACACACGCCCGTTCCCCAACTTGGCCGTTCAACCCAAGGGTGAGATATGGTGATATGGCTTGGGTGGGCCGACGTCTTGACGTCCTTATCCTACATCCTAACATGCTCACTCTTAGGATATCTGCTTCTAGCAGCGGCCCTTTGCAAGGGCCCTGGTTCTGAACTGCCCAGGTTGAGCTCATTAGAGCTCACTTGACTACATTCTGAACTCTCTGTGGTGAAATTCGTGTCATGTTTCGAGAAGGTTGAGGGCTGCGAATCATGTGCGAGCAGCCAGGCCTCCAAAACCTTGGCTTTCTCACCACCAGCCACCTTCAAAGGGCAGGAACGACGTCTACTGAGAGCTTAGGGTTCCTCAAACCGGGCCATGGACGGCAATGAGTAGCTGACTTTGGCGAGGGATTCAGTCCAATAGGTTCTTGTCAAAACGCTCAACATGAAGTCCTCACAAACACCGCAACCCGGAATCAGGGAAACGTGTCACTGCTGGCTTGTGCCTGTATTGCAAGCGATACGGGTGCAGGCCTACACAGCTTTCATGGCGAGCAGGTCGGGTGCATGGACACTGATGCGCAGACCAAGGGAGAGTCACATTACTTGCAGGTTTGCCCTCACACCCGCAACCCAAAAGGGTGATCTGGGACATGATCATGTCGGTTTGCTGTCATTGTCGCACCTTCTCTCAGAAAACAAAAGCTTGTAAACCATGACTAGCTCCACAAGAAAGCAAAGCCATGCTCACCGAAACTCTGGATGCCGTCGTGCACGGGAGAGGTGGACCCAGGGCTTGAACCGTGATTAGGTCGCTTGGCTTCAGGCTCCTACCTCGGACAAGGTGTCAAGCGCCGAGGACATATCAGACGGACGAACCATCTGGTGTTAGCTTCATCCTCAGCGTTTGTTCTAATCACGACATTTTCTAATCTTTGAGAGGCGAGACAAGCGCGGTGGCTGCACAGGTGAGTGTTTGTTGCTCGGGCCTCTGAGCCCCAGCTGAAGTTGGGCCCTAGGAACCGCATATCACGACCAATTTGTGCTGAAGACAAAGAGAGACCCTGTGGTCGCCATGCTAAGCCACGTGCAGCAATACACATGGACGTTTCCGCCCTGCATACCACTCAAACCGGACTGGAGACTTCTGGCTGGAGACCCACAGCACAGCCGCAGCCAGGAAGATCCCTGAAGCCCTTGAATTGAATTGGAAAAGCGGCAAGACAAGCTCCCGAGCCATGAACCTACAGACTTGCCGGATGCGAGCGCTCGATAGGAGACTGCAAGCTTTCTCTGCCCCATCCGACTTCAAGACTCAGCGTTGCTCCTGCCTTGAGCCAGCTGTTCTCCGTGGCAAACTGCTCCAAACAGCTGATAACACTAGCCTGGGCACAGGTCATGTTGGAGGACAAAGGATGTTCTTGCTAACTTCATACTGCGTACTCGCCATGTGTATTCTCAATATTCCAGGCCGACATTTGTCCAAGTAAGGCCAGTCAGGCAATCACATCTCCGATCCGCGGCAAATTGGGGCCCCCAACCTTTATTGGACATGGGATTCTAGATATAAGCAGCTGAGATGGCAAAAAGAGCCCCTTGTTCCAGGGTCACACCATTCTTTGGCCGACTCAAACTGATTCGGCTACCAGATCCGCTCAAATGAGTTGGCTGACCAACGCCCGATTTGGGGTTTACGACTTGCACCCCGACCGATGCATTCCCCCCTGCTCTCAACGCAATGTTGGAACCGATTCCAGCCACCAAACAATACGAAATGTGCTTTGCCAGTAAGCCCCTTCAGTTTTGTCTGTAAGACTTTCTTCTGGGAGTTGAAACGAAAAACTTCGAGGCTTCATAGTATTTGCCGATAATGCTTCTTTGATGTTTTAGTCGGTGCATCTTCATTAAAATAGATGATCATCTGGAGTCTAGGATGACCCACAAGCAAAATGCTCGATGCAGGGCCCGGCCCCAATCTTCAGTTCTACTAGGTCTACCCCGTGCATGTTTGATTTTACGTTCCAAGCTGCATCGGTACCTTCGATGGGCTGGCTTTTCAAATTTTGGACAGTTCTCAATTTTGTGGGAGCGGGGCTGGAAGCGCTTGAAGCTGGGGTGGGGGGTGGGGGGGGGGGNNGGATTTTCGCCAAAGTCTCGAGGGTAGGTTTTGTTGGTTTTCCTTCGGCAGAGGGTTGGGGGGGGTGGGGCCCGAACAATATCTCCAGTTTTACTCGGTATTTACAGTACTTTCGTGATGGCGGACCATGTTATATGATGATGGCGAGCAAACACCACGCTTCTTCAGTGGGTTTTCCTGATTCTGGGGGGGTGGGGGGGGGGGTGGGGGGTGGGGGGGGGGGGGGTGGGGTGCCCATGCACATGCACACATTCGTGGATTTCCAACACAACCACGGTCCCCACAATGCCAAAGAGCCGTGTCGGCCGTGGGGAAAGCTGGGTCGTGGGAAACTAAGGCACGGAAGAACAATGCAGCCTTGATCATTATTGTTGTCGAAGAGATTGGAATTTTCACAGTAGCTGCGATGTAGCTGCTAGCCTGACAGCGACTCCCTGATGTCGAAAGTAGGTTTTTAGGCGATTGCTGCAAAATGGCCGCAAAACGCTTGCTCGTATTCGGACTTGGCTGCATGGGTTACGTCGATAACAGCTTTCCACCGGCTTGCACAGCCAGCTAGTACTGCTGACCGGCGTTGCTTCTGCCTGCCACTTCCAGGAAATGTGTGCTGTTACAGGAAAAAGGGTTCTGACATTCCGAGCATGCCCACCGATGTTGGGATCGATGCCGGTCATACACCAAATCGGGCACTACTGTAGTTCGACGCACCATGAGTGCGATCGTGGCCACGCAGCATGCTCGGGAATCTAAGCGGAGGCCTCTGATGTGCCAAAAACCGATCCCAGCGGTCTCGAAAGGTGTCAATGCATGCAACCTCTGAATAGAATCACGCAACATCAATCTGAACTCCCACGGTCCTGAAGCTGCAGCCTATGTTCCATTCCAAAGATTCCCACGACGCTTTTGTAGGGAGCGAACGGGACAATCCCTCACAGCCGTCCTCGGAACAGCGGCATGTGCGGGTGTGGGCCCCTTCACGAAACTCCGATGCTGGGTAAGGTCTCCAACAACTGCAGTCGGGGTGAGGCACGGCTATCCATTTCTCTGAAGCACAACATTTTGTTCGGCCGCTGTTCAACCTTGAAGTCTATGACTCGCAGTCTCAATCGCTAGAACATCAACTGACTGTCACCATGAGCTGCAAAAGCTAGCTGCTGGATTCCTCGCAACCCTGTGCTATGATGCAATGACACAGTCAACAGCTGGGCCCCTCAAGGTTGCCCCACTGAGCTTCAGGTCCGCTGCATGCACAATAAAGTTCCTACAGTAAGTGGAGCTGCTCCTCCCTCAGCCTCTACTCCCTCGGCTAAGTGGCTGCTCGAGGTGTTCGAGAAGCCGCACTTCCTGCACTGATGACAGTATTGTAGGAGGCTGGACTCACTGGCCGTATGTCGCATCTTGTTATGGCCCGAATATTAGAGTCACGCTTCTGGCATGCCCAATCAATACACACCACCCATCCGAAACGCGAAGGGAACACCTTCAACTTCTCGACTGCGAGCTGCACAACTTCAGAACGTCGAACGAGGACGAAGGGCGCACCCTGTCAACACACAATTTTCCGGGATTTGTCGAAAGGTGGCAAGATCACAAGGAGGCAACACGAGCAGGCGACACAATCGCCCAACACTAAATCCGAAGGACGCAGCAAGGAATCCTGAAGGCATGCGAGAAAAAACGGTCCTTGCGCTTCCTGCGTGAGGCTCGTTCTTGCTCAAGGCGCTGAGAAAGAAGTTCCTGGGTCCCAGTGCTTGGGATTCTGAATTGTACTCTTCTGGTCCAGAATAGCATAGGCACTTGCAGATCTTCGCCGGCAGGAACAAAACTCTGTGCTATCGTGATCCACTGCAAGGTTGTGTGAGTCCGGTGTGCCATGCTTCGCGATATCAAAGTCTCCAGCTCTCCTGCACGGGAGCACCATTTCATCGGGGTATGCTGAGGTTGCATAGAGATACATGTCAGAGAACTTTGGAAAGACAGTACCTAGGTGGCCTTGTTCGCGCCTTCCAGGCGCCAAAAGATTGAGACTTCAAACTTACAGTCCAAACCGAAAGCTGTACCCGTCAATGCGAAGCAGTCCATTCTGCAAAGCTTGCGAAAATCATACGGAACAGCCGAGCCGTGAATAGAGCTTCTCGCCAGAATGTCAACTCCCTCGTGTGCGGAAGCAGGTGTCGTTTTCTGGTAAGGGGGAACTCGTAGCGAACTTGTGCGCAAAGCAGATCAAAGCAGTCCCAAAGATTTGCGTGATCTCGGATTGCATGTAGCATGTATCTAGAATTCAGAAACTAGAAGCCGCGCCACTCCCTAGCACCCATGTCTTTCTCTGACACGCCCACAGAGCTGGCATTTCCAGCTGAAGGCCAAGCACAGTGCCGAGGCCCGGGCAGAGGCTACATCTGTGGCTCCTGCCACTTGGCACGCCCAAACCGCTGCACTTAGGCACCTGGCTGTTTCTGCGCTCTCCCGCTCTCTCTCCTCTGGCCTTTCCCCTCTCCCCCCCTCGCTTCTGCCTGTCTCCTCCCCCTCCCCTCTCCCTCCCTCTCCCTCCAAGGCCCAACAATGAGATGAAAGATGGGACAAAATGCAGTTCGGTTCTTAGCTCCCGGTCGGAGGCAAGTCCCAAAGCCTCCCACTCTGAACCCTGCGAGTCCCCACACTCTAAACCTCGAGCCCATGACCCTACAGCACTAAGCTGGCGGATTCGGAGGAGGGCGCAAGGCGAGCTGTTCGGCATGCTGACCGCTGACCAGATGCCAAAAGCCCCAAGCTCGCATGCTCAACAAAACACATTACTCAAAGCTCATCATCTAAACTTCAACATGAGATTGAAAAACTGAGCCACCACAAGGTTGGCCACCGTTTCATCTGTGAAAGCATCAACACGACTCTTTCGAACATATCAACTTGCCAACATGTCTTGGGCCGCATCCCTGTGGACCCAGAAAGACGCAATCACATCATATCACATGAATCATACTTTCATAATGTTCTTACTTGGCTGTGACTTGGGCGAGCCCGGGGATCCCACCGAAGCCGTCATAGTAGTCGTATCCCCTGATGACCCGCTTTCTTCAACACCCAAGTGCTAAACCCTGCCCCGACTTGAAGAGACGCTAGAGCGAGGTCCCAATCACGCGAAAATGCGGGAAAGCGGACGAGCTCCTACTCGGACCAGCACGAGTGCCCTTTGCAGCTGGGCCGCCAGTCGTCGCTTTGGCACTGGCTGGAGTGCAGCAACTCCAACGCCTGAGCTCGCTGTCGGGCTCTGACTGGGAATCTCCGGATGCCAAACGGAACTCCAACCCCCTTTATTATACCTGTGGGTGAATGTTTCCGTTTAGGATAAGGGTTAACGGTTAACATACAGTAACAGCCGGGAGGCCATCAAGCGACTTGCAAGACTAAGGTTTGGGTCCTGACTTTCGACTGCTTAGGAAAATACTCGTGGGCTTCAACACGGTCGTCCTCGATGCTTCAGCAAATCTTTACCCAGCCCAACGTGAATCTGAAAGTATCTGAAAGGTTGAAATCCTACAAAAATTTCAGTACTAATCTGATGTTCGCATCACCCTAAGAGCCATTGTTCCTGCCTCGTTCCATTGGCGCGCCATTCCTGCAGTCTGGCTCTGCTCCCTAAACTTACAAGGTTGCAGAACTGAGCATTTGGACTGCAGTCGTCGCAGGTTCCGAGGCATAAGGGAGCTTCTACGCCTCCAATAAGTGCCATTGGCATCGTGTCTTTCGTGGAACACCATCATCATCATCACCATGCTGGTGATGATGATGATGATGATGGTGATGGCAATGAAGATGATGATGATCATCATCATCATATACCATTGTGGACTGACTTTCTCTGCCGCATCCACGATGCGACAAAGTGCGGCAGGAACACTCAGAATCAACATTGGCATGAACCCCGACTCCGGAAGAAGAGTGCGCAACGACTCTCGAAGAAGCCATGAATCCTGGACCCTGTGGCATCGGCAAGTCAATCAGACCAGAGTACGTATGCCGACAGCGGAAGTAGTCTCCGCGAAGGAATCCACACGCAAAACATCTCAATCCTCAGCAAGAAACCCCTCGAAACGCATATTGATGCCCAGGCACCCAAAGCCCTCAATACATGTGCCACACCCTCGTCAGCCCGAAGCTGCCGTGAGCTCAGGGAGGCGAAAACGCGGAGGGAATGCCGCCAGGCCTGAGACGGTTGCAGGGCTGCAACTGCCCGAATTCGCTTTTCGGAACTGCAGACTGAGGCTGCGTGAGGGTGCGCTGTTCCGGCTGTCGGATTTCATGTATTGGCGATAGCTTTGAAAGCAGGGATTGGTAATTTGCGTCGCTTCCGGCTTGGCTTTAGCAAGTTTCGTGTTGTTGAACCCCCTGGTGCTTTGCCTCCAAGATCAGCCTGCATTCGATACCAATCCCAACCGCAACCCCCGCCCGCGAAATGTACGCCGCTCCTGCCTGGGCATTAGTGAGGGCAGAGAGGAGAGTGGTGTGAGCTTCTGCTGCCATTCTCTCGTCCGCCGTGTCGTGATACAGGTGCAAGCATTCTTGCCACCTAGGGTGAGGGCGGAGAGCGAGGTTGTCCGTACATCTGCCTGCCTGCCTGCCTGCTTGCCTGGATAGATGGGAAAAGCCGCTGAAAAGCCAAACAAGCCGACGCTGTTGCGGGGTCCCACACCACTCGAGTGGTGCAAGGGGTCTCGAAAATGGTCCTTTCGAGTACAAACGTAGTACGCGGAATGCAATCCAACATTGTCCGGAACGGCGGGGCCTCCAAAATGCTGTTTTCGAGAACAAACGCGGCACGTGGAACGCTCTTCGAGTGGCGGAGTCTCGAAAATGGTCCTTTTTCGAAGACAAACGTAGTACGTGGAATGCTTTCCCAAGCTCCCCCGACGGATTCCGGACTTCGAACAAGAGTGGGTGCGACCTCGTTTTTCCCGGTCGCACCGGCACCCACCCTTGCCTTCGAAGGATTTCGAAGGCTGCATGGGGATTTTGTCGTTTTCTGCCTTCGAAGGCGACATGGGGGGTATGTCTTTTTTCGAGAGATCGTGCGCTTTGGCCTTAATGTGCTCTTCCTACAAATGATGGGTGCGACCTCGTGAAAAACGAGGTCGCGCCCGGTCGCACCCACCCTTGCCTTCCACAACAAATGATGGGTGCGACCGGGTGTGACCTCGTAAAAAACGAGGTCGCGCCCGGTCGCAACTACGTACGCCTTCCAGAGCAAATCACCTCATAAAAAACGACGTCGCACCTGGTCGCACCCATCCTCTTGCAAAGTCCGGAATGCGCTTAGCACGCGCAGAAAAATCATTGTATTGTAGGCGTTGTGAACTTTAAGGACACTGCAAGGTTGTAATGCGAACGTCCAGCCTAAAATTTCTGCATCTTTGTATGTAGGCGTTGTGAACGCTAATTTAAGGACACTAAAACTTTGTATCGCGAACGTCCACCCTTCAATTTCTGTATGTTTGCTTGTAGGCATTGTGACCTTTAAGGACACTATATAAACTTGTATCGCGAACGTCCACCCCTCAATGTCTGTATTTGTAGCGGTTGTGAATTGTAAGCACGTTATACACTGCATAACTCGAACATTCACCCTGAAAGTTCTGCCTGTGTGTATTGTGCGTGGTGAACTTTAAGGACACTATAGACTTGTACTGTGAACGTCCACCCTGAAATTTCTGTATAATTTGGATCGTAAGCGATGTGAACCGTAAGGACGGTCTTCATGGCTGCCGAGGCTCCGAGTTGACCGTGCGCAAGCCCGCAGGGCAAGCAGCGCATCCTGGAGAGGTCACAGAAACAGTCGAACTGCAGGCTTCATGGTGCAATGATGTACAAGGATTCAGCTTACAAGATGTGCCAGGCAGAGAATGCTTAGAACGAAGTCACGGGTGAAGCATGCTGTGACCTCCGCGGGTTTCTACAGCAAGTTTTGAAATCCCTGGCATATTTTTTCCTAAATCCCTGAACCGTCACCTCGGAAGTTCGGTCGCTGCCGAGCAGTTGGAGGGTGGCCCTCCATGCAGCGCTGCGGGCACAGGCTTCCAGAACTGCCGGAAGAAGGTCGTTCCTCATGATCCTGGAGGCAAATGGCAAGGGTGCTTTTAATGCCACTCCGCGGGCTTCGGCTCAGCCAAGCTGACATAACAACTCACATCCCGGTTCAAGCACAAAGTCGACGTTAACTTCTCAGTCCCACCATGCCTTTCATACCCTGCCACATACAGAAACAATGTTACACTGTGTCCAGCAGAACTGTCTGCAAAAGCAAACACAGGGGCAGCACCACCACCAGTAGTGGTGGTGGTGGTGGTGGTG